GTCGGATGATGTATATCTGCTTTCTCTTTCCAAAATTCCGGTCCTCTTTCTCAAGGTGGACCGCTATAAAACATAGTGGGATAACTAAGGGTAATTGTTGAATTTTTTTTTGAAGGAAAAGAAATAGGGTGAGCTACCCTGTTTATATATGCATTAAAAGAAAAAAAATGGAATATATAAAAACTGATAGTATCACTGCTGAACTGTCAGCAATATGAAAACAAAACCAAAAGAAAAACCATCACAGTAGAAGAAAAAACAAACGAAACACAAGAGGAGAGAAAGTGAAAACATAAGAGGAGATTGTCTGAAACACTACAGAACTCTTAACTCAATGGTCCGCCGAGAAATTATCTCCGACTGTATCGTGCGCACCCGTTATTGTTGAATTTGCTCTACGAAAACTACAACACCGTGGAATCTCCCAGGAGCCCGAACATGAAGAAATGAGTCTGAACTGGTGATTGTCCAAAATCTCAGTCTTATATGCGCGTATCCATTTATTATGTGATATTTGTGTATACAATATTGTCATGTGAACAAATCCAGATGTAGGTCTATTTAATTCATTCTACAGCAAACACTATTCTTGTAAAATGTGGTTTAGAATATCAAAATTACTTTTCTAGTTATCGTACGAGCCTAAACATGCCCTATATGCTACAATGTTTTCGACACTTTATCCACTGTTCAAGCTGAAGTGACATTTCTTAACATTGAAAATGTTGTTCATGTCTTTTTTTTCCCTTCTTTTTTTTCCGTTCTTGCAAATGACGAATTGAACCTTTGCGAGATGTTTTACAAATATGACTTTTTTCTAGCTCTATTATAAAAAAATAGATAAAAACGTGATAGTTGGTGTATTATTTTATTAACTAGTTTAGAAGTAAGTAAAAAAATTATCGCTAAAGTTTTTATCAATAATGATATATATAAAACCCATATTATCAATTTGGCAAAAGATATAATCCAATAAAATAATACCTATAGCAACATACGGGCTTTATACTAGTACATTTGTAATGTTTTTAAAAGTAACGTCCGCTAAATGACATCTATCTATCGTTGTGTATATATTTCTACATAACAAATCATAAAATCATAAGAGAAATGGTCCTGTATAGTCCGCCTGACCCATTTTAACCTGAAAACCCAAATGAAATAAAAAATCAATATGGGGATTCTAGACTTCTAAAAAATCAACGTACTAAATTCGAGTGCTAAATTTTCCATCCATGCACATCCCCAGTGGAAATTGTACTAAAATCGTGAAAATTGCAACTAAAGACACACGGTAATTTCCAAATTTACCAAATTCAAGTTAAAAACAATTACTATTTTAAATGCTCATCTTAATTTTGGTTTTGATTGACTAGCTCCATAAAAGTTCTCCAACCGTTCCAGTCATGATATTGAGTTACCGTCGATTAGATTCTCCCTCGTGGCTTCTTTTTCTTATCATCAAATCAAGCAAAAAGTCCTATTTTTATTCATAGCCTTTGTGAATTTTAATTAGAAAAAATTTGCAAAATAGACCTATTTTGTTAAATATTTAGCAAAATATCAAAATAGACTTCTTTTTTGCCAACAGATCAAAAAGAGGTCGATTTTGCTAAATGGACCATTCGAAACATACGGGGCTAGTAGTCCCGTATGTTTCGAATGGTCTGTTCAGCAAAACGGTCTGTTTTGCTAAATATTTAGCAAAATAGGTCTATTTTGTAAATTTTTCATGTTAATTAGCCAGATCAAGCCATTAGCAATTGCTATATAAGATTTTAGCCCAAAGGAGCGTCTGTTGCTTTTTGTGGTTCTTATTCTTGGTCTGTATTTTTGTATCCTTCGAATTAGCACGATGATACATTTGCCTTTGGGATCATCCGAAATGAGAAGTTATACAAAACATACTTCGTATTATTACGATGCCAACAGTGCTTGCATTAGTCTACATACGTTGTCAAGTTAAATAATACTTAATTTTTCGGAATCAAATACGAACTTGTGTGAAGCCTACAGGAGTGGTACTACAGGCACACCCCTAACCACGCCTTAGGTCACACCCCCTCTCTCAGCTACAGTACACGGGGCCCACTTTAGATTTTTAAAAAAAATCTAAAATGAGCCCCGTACACTATAGCTGAGAGAGGGGGTGTGACCCAAGGTGTGGTTAGGGGTGTGCCCGTAGTGTTTTCCAGCCTACAGATATAACCGAATCTTATACAAATCTAAGATGAGGACGGAAGTTAAGAGCTGTGCCTGCAGTTGCGTGCGGAATTCTTCAGATTCCTTGTGATAGCAGGTATAAGTGTGATAAGTTAAAAAAATTAGTTGACTTTCCAAATCGAATTAGATTCGTAAGGTAATGAATTTTGCTTACAACAACAAGTCCTTTTTATGGAAGAACGTATTTATTTATTTACTTATTTTTTTTAAATTAAGCCTAGCATCACATGCAGAGGAGAGAGAACTTCCGGTTTTGACAAAATTTGGCACAACCGAACTGAGTACTCATGGATTCTAAAGTTTTTCTAAAGAAAAATACATCGTTGGCGTACATAACAACAACTGCAACTATTGTGTTTTTGGCACACATGAGAAGTAAACCCAAACTTCCTCACAGGAGATCGGCATGACATTACCGTGTGATCTACTGGGCTAACCCAATTTTAGATTCAAAACTTAACCGAATCGAATGGAATAGTTTGGTTGGTTTTGCATCTGGATGGAATTTTCGCCAAACATGAAAAATGAATTTCCCTCTTACGTGTGGGCCCTGAGGTGCCTTTCCAATGTATTTAATGGCTAAATATTAGAAAACGCCCTTTAACTTTGAAAGATCTACTACTGTTTATTTATTAAGAGAAGACAGTCTTTTCGACCATATTTGTGGTGTTATACGGCCTGTTTGTTTCACCAATTTTATGGAATAGGAATGCTATTTGGACCTGACAATGACGTTTTCGTAATTAATGGATTCCAAATGAATCCTAATTCTGAGTTTGGTTCAAAAATTTTTTATAGAATTGCTAATCTATAAAGTGGCTCAAACAGTGTATATTTCAGGAAATCCAAATCCAGTCCATTTGCTAGGAATTGGGTGGAATTTCTGATACCTCTCCTCTTTTTTATTCTGATTCCTAATCCTATTCCTAATCCTTTGGGTGAAACAAACATAGAATACAAAAAAATGGGACTCCATAAAACTAAAACTTGTCTATAAATTTTTTATGGATTAGGTTGGAATCCATATATAAAATAGGATTCCTAATCCTATTCCTACCCTCTATTGAACCAAACAGGCCCTTACTTGACCAAATTTGTTGTAAACCCCATGATGTCCTTGCAACTTATAGGTTTTTTAAACAATTACAAAGGGGCAAAACTGGGTAAAAAAACGATTTCCTACGTCCTCTCATAACTTCCCACTTACCCATGTCTTAAAACCTCCATCAACATTCCCACTTGCGTTTTAAGTCTTGGGGGGTGTTGTGTTTTTCCCTTAAAATATTTTCAAAACACCACGTTAAGTATTTTTTGCAACACTAGTTTGACCCCATTATAACATTAGTATTAAACATATTATTAATATATTATATATTAATTATAATAAAATATATTATAAATAAAATGTTATAATATTTAGCTACATTATTATAGCATTATAAGTATTAAATGTAATGCAATATAATATTGTGTAATGTATTATAATATTATATTATACTTTAATGAGTTATATTATATTATAATTATTACATATTATTTTCAAATAATTATGTATTTAATTATTTT